CCCCTGTTCTCTCTCTCTCTCTCTTTTTCTCTCTCTCCCTCTCCCCCCCCCCAAGGCCACATGTGCTCTGCATGAGATCATGTCTGCACCGGAGTCTGGGCCGGCGGTGCTGGGGCTCTACGCGCCTCTCTTCGTGACCCTCCTGCTGCGCGTCAGCTGCACCGTGGGTGTTCAGCTACCGAAGAGCCTGCAGGGCAGGGAGAGGAGGAGCAGCAGCCACGCGGCCGTGTCGCGCAGCCTCCAGCCCTGCAGGTACGCCGGGCGGATCGCCGTTGCCGTGTGAAGCCGGAGTGGCACAGAGCGCGACGCGGCTGGTCGGGTCGACCTGGCCTCGAGCTGTGCGCTGGGCTCTGCTGCATTTGGGTTTTTTGGCGTGCGCGGTTTTGTCCCAGTTCTTCCAGTTCTCTGCACTGGGATGTCCCGGTGATGCGGAGGGTCCCACGCTGCGCTGTGTCTCTCAGTTGGAAGGGTTCGGGCTGAGGTCAGGTTGGATGTTTGGAAACGTTTCTTCAGCCAAAGAGCGGTCAGACATCGGCGTGGGCTGCCCAGGGGGTGGTGGGGTCACCATCCCAGGGGTCTTCAGGAAGTGGGGAGATGTGGCACTTGGGGACACGGTTGGTTGGGGTTGGGTTGGGGATCTTGGAGGTCTTCTGCAACCCCAGAGTCCACAACGATGTGACCCCAGGAGCCCAGCCCATCTCCTCCTGCTCTCCTACCCCGCCCTCAGGAGATGAGCAGAGCAATCCTTGCAGCACATCGGGATCCTGCAGCAGCTCGAGGGCCACCCCGTGGTGGATGGTGGTGGTCCATGGTTGGTGGTAATGGTCTGTGATTGGTGGTGACGGTCTCTGGTTGGTGATGGTGGTCCATGGTTGGTGATGGAGGTCCATGGTTGGTGGTGGTGATCCATGGTTGGTGATGGTGGTCAATGGTTGATGGTGACGGTCTGTGGTTGGTGGTGATGGTGGTCCATGGTTGATGATGGTGGTCCATGGTTGGTGGTGACAGTCTGTGGCTGGTGATGGTGGTCCATGGTTGATGGTGACAATCTGTGGCTGATGGTGGTGGTTGGTAATGATGGATCATGACTGATGGTGGTTGTCCCTGACTGGTGGTGATGCTCCGTGGTTGTTGTTGGTGGTCTGTGCTTGGTGATGATGGTCCATGATTGTTGGTGGTGGCTCGTGGCTGATGGTGGTCTGTGGTTGGTGGTAGTGGTCCGTGGTGGATGGTGATGGTCTGTGGCTTATGGTTATTGTTGGTGATGTGTGGTTGATGGTGGTCCTTGGCATTACCTGTGCTTGGAGAGCATCAAGGCAGTGGCACTGCGTGAGACCCATCCAGAAATGCCCGGGGCCAGGTGGCCGGTGGGTGCGTGGCCACGTTGGGTGTGAGCTGGTGGCCGGGGCCACGTAACCGTGAAGTCACCACTGATGGATGGAGGGGAAGAGGCTCTGTCTGACGCGCCGAGATGTGAAATTCCAGCTCGGTCCCAGGAGCTGGTTACAATATCAAAGCCGCTTCCTGGCCGCGTTCTGAGTGCTGAATCTCCCTGATCCTCAAATGCCAAAGAGCGACGGTAAAGGTGAACACGATAGCTTGGCAGGAAGGGGAGGCTGGAAGACACAGCCTTTGTCGGAGAGGAAGGAAGCGTCTGTAGGAAAAGCAAACCCCGTGAAGCTCCGTCCCGCAGGAGCAGCCTCGTGCTGCGTCTGCCGCGAGGCCGAGCCCGGAGCAAGGGGAGGATCAGGTCTCTGCGAGCGTCTGCCAGAGGTTTTTGTGCTGCTGTTTTCGTGTGCTGCAAGGAAATCGATCCTGCTGCAGCTTTCCTGGGCTGACTACGGCTCCACCTGTACCGTGCGGGGTTCTGGGGCTCGCGCAGGGTTCTCGCTGTGCGGAACTGAGAGCGCTCCCCGTGATCTGCTGCTGCTGCTGCTGCTGCTGCTGCAGCTCTTCCCCTGTCCCACAGCTGGAGTGGGATCCAGGTTTGGGTCTGAGGGCAACCCCATAGTGGGGGGCTGGAGTCCAGGAGCAGATGGGGACAGATTCAGGGGCTGCTGCTGTTCTCAGCCCCGGCTGCGGTTGGTGGTGGTGGTCCATGGTTGGCAGTGGTCGTCAGCTCCAGACGTGGTCAGTGGTGGTCTGTGAGTGATGGTGGTGGTCTGTGGCCAATGACGGTCCTTGGCACCAGTTGTGGCTGATGGTGGTGGTCTGTGGCTTATGATGGTCCTCGGTACAAGCTGTGGTTGGTGGTGGTGGTCCATGGCTGGTCCTTGGCACCTGTCATGATTAGTGATGGTGATCCATGGTTCATGGTGGCCCTCAGTAAGAGCTGTCGTTGGTGGCAGTGGTCCATGGCAGCAGTTATGGCTGGAGGTGGTGGTCCATGGCTGATAGTGATGGTTCTTGGTTGGTGCTGGCGGTCCTTGGCAGTGGCCAAGTGGTTGGTGGTGGTGGCCCATGGTTGGCGCTGGTCCCTGGCAGTGGCTGTAGCTGAACTATCAGGTGGCCTGTAGTTGGTGGTGGTGGTCGGTGGTTGATGGTGGTCCTTGGCATTTGGTCAGTTGGTGATGGAGTTCCATGGCTGGTGGTAGTCCTCCACATCAGCTGTGGTTGTTGGTGGTCGTCCATGGCTGATCGTGGTAGTCCATGGTTATTGTTGGTGGTCTGTGGCACCAGCCATGGTTGGCAGTGGTGAACCACGGCTGGCAGTTGTCCTCAGCACAGCCGTGGTTGGTGGTGGTGGTCCATGGTTGTGGTGGTGGTCCATGGTTAGAGGTGGTCCTTGGCACAGCCGTGGTTGGTGGTGGTGGTCCATGGCTAATGGTGGTCTGGGCCATGGTTGATTGTGGTCCATTTTCATGGCGCTGGTCCATGATTGCTGATGGTCCATGGTTGTGGTGGTTGTCCATGGTTGTGGTGGTGGTCCATGGTTGGTGGTGGTCATTGGCACAGCTGTGGTTGTTGGTGATCCATGGCTGATGGTGGTGGTGGTCCTTGGTTAGCAATGGTCCATGGTTGGTGGTGGTCCTTGGCACAGCCGTGGTTGGTGCTGGTGGTCCTTGGCTGATGGTAGTGGTGGTCCGTGGTTGACTCTGGTCCTTGGCAGAGCTGTGGTTGGCAGTGGTGGTTTGGCATCACCTGTGTCAGGGCGCCGTCCCAAGCCGTGTGTTCTCCATCTGCACTCACACTGACAGCCAGGATTGCTCCATCACCAATACTTGTTTTGCTGCGACAGGATAACGTATGGTTCCCATATGTTGCTCCACGCTCGCAGCAAAATAATCTCCACCTATAAAATGCTAATGCAAAAAAACCCACCTTCCAGCAGCTCTGGTCTGCTTTCCTTTTCAGCCCACTCTTCTGGGTCGTGGTAATGGCGGTGTCACAGCACGTGGAACTGCTCTGCACTGATGGGGGGCAGCGGGCAGCCCTGCTATGGGGCTGTGCTCTGCAGCACCGGGCTGGGAGGCACAGTGTGGTGGTGTGGTGCGATGGTGTAATGCGGCTGTGCAATGTGATGGTGTGGTGTGATGGTACAGGGTGGTGTGGTGTGATGGTACAGGATGACGATGTGGTGTGATGGTACAGGATGATGATGTGGTGTGATGGTACAGCGTGGTGATGTGGTGTGATGGTACCCTGTGACAGTGCAGTGTAGCGGTACAATGTGATGGTACAGTTTGTCAGCACAGTGTGTTGGCACAACATGATAATCATAGAATGATAGAATGGCCTGGGTTGCAAAGGAGCACAATTCTCATCAGTTCCAACCCCCTGCTGTGTGCAGGTCGCCAACCAGCAGCCCAGGCTGCCCAGAGCCACATCCAGCCTGGCCTTCAATGCCTGCAGGGATGGGGCATCCACAGCCTCCTTGGGCAACCTGTTCCACTGCCTCACCACCTCTGCATGAAAAACTTCCTCCTCATATCCAACCTAAACCTCCCCTGGCTCACTTTCAAACCATTCTCCCTTGTCCTGCTGTTATATACCCTATCAAAGAGTTGATTCCCTTCCTGTTTATACGCTCCCTTCAAGTACTGTAAGGCCACAATGAAGTCTCCCCCCAGCCTTCTCTTCTCTAAGCTAAATAATCCCAGTTCCCCCAACCTCTCCTCATAGGAGAGGTGCTCCAGCCCTCTGACAAAGTGAAGGTACGACGTGGCAGTACAGTGTGACAGCACTGTATGGTGGTACAGTGTGACAAGGCATTGCAATGGTGTAACGTGGCGTGGGCTGATGGTACAACGTGACAAAGCATTGCGATGGTGTAACGTGGCGTGGGCTGATGGTACAATGTGACGATGCGATGTGACAGCACGGCGTGACAGTACAATCTGACGATACAGTGTGACCACACAGTGTGACATAACGTGGCGTAACAGTACAGCCTGACAAAGCGATGCGATGGTGCACAGTGTGACGTTGCGGTGTTTCTCTGCAGCTGTGCGGTGCAGACTCTGCGGGCCATGCTGGCACGGGGTGGCAGTGAGGCTGTGGCCACGGCTGTGGGCGGTGCTGGAGGATGGGAGCTGATGGAGAACCCTGAGCGGCACCACGAGGGCGTCACTGTGCTGGCTGGGTGAGGGCAGAGAGTGGGGGGCACAAGGACGGGAGTATTGGGGGGGTGAGGGCACTGGGGACAGGGAGCATTAGGGGCAGGGTTGTTGGGGACTGGGGGCGTTGGGGGACGGGGGTGTTGAGGACTGGGTGCTTTAGGGACAGGGGCATTGAGGATTGGGGGCACTAGGGATGAGGTCATGGGGGACGGTGGCATTGGGAACTGAGGGCATTGAGGGACAGGGGGTGTTGAAGACTGGGGGCACTGGGGACAGGCATTGGAGATGGGGGCATTGGGGACTTGGAGACACTGGGGACAGGGGGCACTGGGGGACTGGAGGCATTGGGGAGCTGCAGGCATCAGGGACAGGGACATTGAGGGCTGGAGGCATTGGGGATGGGGTCACTGGGGACAGGGGCATTGGGGACTGGTGGCGTTGGGGGACAAGGCATTGATGGCTGGGGGCACTGGGGACTGAGGGCTGTGTGGATGACAGTCCCTTCTCCCTGCAGCTCCATGGCACGGCATGCTGGCCCCCGCCTGCCTCTCATTGTCAAGAGCCTCATCCCCACACTGAGCAGCGCCTTCGACAGCCAACGCATCACTGCCACCGCCTTCCTGGCTGAGGTGAGCGGGGCAGAACCGTGCAGAATCCCCAAATCCCAGATCCATAGGGGTTGAAAGGGACCTCTGGAGCTCCCCCAGCCCAACCTGGCCCCCTCCTCCCACCCCCACCCTCCAGACACCCATCAGCGCTGCTCAGACCCCTCCCAGCCTTCTCTCCCCCAGCGCACAGCCCCGGGGCTCTCAGCCTGTCCCCACCAGGAGGGGCTCCAGGTCCCCCCCATCTCCGCACCCACCGCTGGGCTCTCCCAGCAGCTCCCAGTCTGCCCTGAACTGGGAGCCCAGCACCGGGCGCAGTGCTCCAGCAGCGCCCTGCAGGGCAGAGCAGAGGGGAGCAGCACCTCCCTGCCCTGCTGGCTGCACTCTGGCAATGCACCACAGGGTTCCACTGGCCCTCTTGGCCACCAGGGCTCACTGCTGGCTCATGGTCAACTGTTGGTGAACTACTGGTCAACCATTTGACACCTGTTGGTCAACCGCTGAACAACAATTGGTCAACCACTGGGTCAGATGTTGGTCAACTATTGGTCAACAGTTGGCCAACCGTTGGCCTTCTTGGCCACGAGGGCACTCTGCTGGCTCCCGGTCAACCATTGGTCAAACAGTGGTTAGTTGTTGTTCAACCATTGGTTCTCTCGGCCGTGAGAGCTCACTGCTGTCTCTTGATCTACTGTTGGTCAACCACTGATCAACCATCGGCCCTCTTGGCCACCAGCACACACTGCTGGCTCGTGGTCAACCGTTGGGTCAACCGTTGGCCACCGAGACCCCCAGCTCCTTCTCCACAGAACTCCCTTCCATCAGCTCAGCCCTGAGCTGCTCTGCTGCATGCGTAGGGTCGGGGCAGTGCCATTGCTGACTGCAGCGGGGCCGTATTCTCATCCCTTCTTGCCATCCTAACCCTGCAGCAGAGGGACCGGCGGAGGAAGCACGCGGGCTCCGGCCCCGAACGTGCGGCTGCCATGCAGCAGCAGCGCCGAGCTCCCTCCTTACGTCCCACCCCAGGAATGAGGTGACTCAAGGCCTCTCCTCTCCCCGCCAGAACCCGTAACCGTATCTCCATACCACCATCGAGCCCGGGGCCACTCGAGGAGGTTCTGTTACATAAAGGAACGCCTTATGCCAACAAGGCAGAGCAATATCCTCGCTTATAAACCACCTTTTAAATTCTCAGCTGCTTTAAGCAGCCCGGGACGAGGGCCCTGTTTTTATTTTCTGTTTGGCCGTGGCAGCCGCCGGCCCCGGCTCTTGGCTCCCATCCCAGAATCTGCTTTCGTTTTGGAGCGCGGTTGGCTCTCGGCATCCTTTTTTTTTTGGGTTTAAAATAGCGGCTTTGCCTCACCGTGGGGCGGGAGGGGAAGGAAGCAAATGCCTGTGTCTCCCTCTCTCCAAACTGATGAGGTGAGAGCTCGGTCCCTCCGCTCGCGGCAGTGCCGGTGACGGAGATGACAGAGTGGGAGCCGGGAGGGGACGGCCGCGGGGCTGCGGCGCTGGGGAGCGGTGGCGATGTGCCCTCCTGGCGCTGCTGGTGGTGCCGGCTCTGTGCCGTGGGGTGCCAGGTTTTGTGCCGTGGGGTCCCTTTGCCAGCTGCCAGGTCTGTGCCATGAGGTGTCATGGGCAGTGCCATGGGATTCCAGTGCCACGCAGTGCCAGATCTGTGCCATGGGGTGCCAGGTTTTGTGCCATGGGATCCCGGTGCCAGGTCTGTGCCATGGGGACCATGGATTCTCTGCCATGGAGTGTGATGGGGTGCCATGGGATGTCAGGTCTGTGCCACAAGGTTCCGTGGGGTGCCAGGTTTTATGCCATGGGGTTCCTGTGCCAGGTGCCAGGTCTGTGCCAGGGGGTCCCTGCACTTGGTGCCAGGTCTGTGCCGTGGGGTCCCTGTTCCAGGTCTGTGCCCAGAGACACCATGGGGTGCCAGGTCTGTGCCATGGGGTCCCTGTGCCAGGTCTGTGTCCGGGGACACCATGGGGTGCCAGGTCTGTGCCATGCAGTCCCTGCATTGGATGCCAGGTCTGTGCCATGGGTTGCCATGAGGTGCCAGATTTTGGTCACTGCCACCTGCAGTAGCCCCAGCTCTGCCCTGCATCCAGCAGCCCCACACAGCTCGTTAACCCGTGCCATTAACAGCTCCTCCAGTTCTGTTTGCAATGAGCCGGGTCCCCAGGGGTGGGGGTCAGTGGGAGAGCAGCCCCGGCAGCCCCCGGCTCGGCGCACGGCCAGCAGCTCGCAGCACTGCAGGGCTCTGCACCGCTTGCCAGGAGCTCTGTGTTTTGCTGCTGGGATGTTCCTGCAACCGTGGGGCCATGCTCCTGCTGCTGGGGATGCTACCAGGGTGATGGGGCCGTGCTCCTGCTGCTCTACTCCTGGATTTAATCCTGGTACATGAAACTGTGCTCCTGCTGCTGGGGCCGCTCCTGGGGCTGTGCTCCTGCTGCTGGGATGCTTTTGGAGTCGTGGGGCTGTGCTCCTGTTGCTCAGCAGCTGGGATTGCTCCCGGAGTCATGCTCCTGCTGCTGTACCACTGGGAGTGTTCCTGAAGCTGTGCTCCGGCTGCTGGGGGTGCTCCTGGGGTCACGGGGCTGTGCTCCTGCTGCTGTATTGCTGGGGATGTTCCTGGAGCTGTGCTTCTGCTGCTGAGGATGCTCTTGGAGTTGTGGAGTTGTGCTCCTGCTGTTCTGCTCTTGGGAATGCTCCTGGGTACAAGGAGCTGGGCTCCAGCTGCTAGGATTTTCCTGGGGTGATGGGGCCGTGCTCCTGCTGCTCTGCAGCTGGGGATGCTCCTAGGCGTGTGCTTCTGCTGCTCTGACAATGGGAATGTTCCCAGAGCTGTGCTCCTGCTGTTGGAGCCGTGGGGCTGTGTCCGTGGAGATGCTGCTGGAGCCATGGGGCTGTGCTGCTGCTCTGCAGCTGGGGCCATGCTTTTCCCCTCTGCTGCCCTTCCCTGCTGCCCATGCCTGCCTCTTCCCTGCTGCCCTTGGCCCACCCAGAGGTGGTCTCAGCTCGGTGGGTCCCAGGGATGTGGTTGGGTCCCTCCCAGCTGTCTGTGCCCTCCATCCCTGCGGGTTCCCTGGATCTGAGGGCTATGAGGAGTTCCCCGTTTGCAGTTCTGAGCTCAGAGCCGAAATCCAGAGCTGAAATCCAGGAACAGACGTCTCTCCCTGGGCAGAAAGCGGTGGCAGCTCCCGACCCACCACGGCATCCACCCTTGGGATGGGGGGCTGCCATCCCATCGCTCCGTTCTCCCCCAGCTGCTGAGCAGTAACGTGGTGAACGACCTGATCCTGCTGGAGAATGTGATGCACAGCATGACGGGGCGGCAGAAGGACCCGTGTCTGCTGGTGCGCGTGCTGGCGCTGCGGGGGCTGGGCAACATCGCCGTGGGGGCACCCGAAAAGGTGGGAGCAAACGGCACGGAGCCGGTCGGGTCCTCTGGGACTGGGGGGGGATGCTTATGGGTAGCACTGTCTGCTCTGGGAACGGGGCTGTTGGCCACGTCCTCATCCCGGTGATGTGCGGTGGGACGGTGTTTGTGTGCCGCTGCTGATATTGGTGGGCATGGTGGGATCAAGGAGAAATTTCTTCTCCAAAGAAAAATGCGATGGGCTGCCTGGGGTGGGGGTGGGGTCACCGACCCTGGGGGTGGTCAGGAAGCACAGAGATGTGGTACTTGGGGACGTGGGCAGTGGGGATGGGTTGGGTTGGGTTGGGTTGGGTTGGGTTGGGGATCTTCGAGGTCTCCTCCAACCCCAGTGACTCTGTGACCGTTTGATCCTGGGAGCCCAGCCCTCCTCCTCCTGCTCTCCCACCCCACACACAGGAGCTGAGTAGGGCAAACTCTGTGGCATGTTAGTGTCCTAGAGCTCCCATGGCACCCAAGTGCTCAGCATGCCAAGCCATGTCCTCTGGGATCTGCACTGGGGCCACAGCTGCCCCCTAGTGCTGGAGCTGTGGGCCAGAATGGCTCGGGGCTCCATACAGTGACCTGTAGGTGAGGTGGGGTCAATTTGTGCTAGGGCAGATTTGGGGTTGGGCATTGGGGGAAATCTTCCCAGAACTGCGCAGAGAGGTGGTGGAGTCTCATCCAAGGAGGGATTGAGTAGATGTGAGGATGTGAGGATGTGGCTCTTGAAGACGTGGTCAGTGGGGGTGGTGGGGTGGTTTGCGGTTGGACTGGGTGATCCTCGTGGTCTCTTCCGACCTGAATGATTCTGTGGTTCTATTTAGGGTCATAGTGGGGTGGGTTGGGATTGGACAGGGGATCTCAGAAGTCTTCTCCAACCTAAATGACTTTATGAGTTTATTTAGGGTCATGGGGAGGTGAGTTTGGGTGGGTTTGGGTTGGAGTTGGGGATCTTGGAGCTCTTTTCCAACCTTAACAATTCCATGACTCTACAATTCCCAGCTGCCGTGGGTCTCCTTCTCCCTTACAGTTGGACTGGATGATGTTGGTCTTTTCCAGCCTTGGTGATTCTATGATTCTTGCACATCCCCACGGTGTAGGGCTGTGCTTTGTCCTTTTCCCAGCCGTCCTCCAAATTGCAAAGGCGAAGTGATGGCAGACTTACCACGGGTTTATACTGTAATTTCATTTTAATTCCAGCTCTCATCACTTCCCTCATAGGTGCATAAGCATGGGGCCAAGCTGCTGGCATCCATGGTCAATGGCATGGATGACAGAGATGACCCCAACAACCTGGTGGCCCTGGAGGCCATGACCAGTCTGTCCAAGCTCCTGGAGCACCTGGAGGAGAGGGACGTGCAGGCCACGCTCCTGCACATCGCCATCAGGATCCGGCCCTTCTTTGACAGCGTAAGGAACGGGATGGCAGAGCCTGCTCTGGGCGTGGGGTCTTGATGGACTGCAGGGGCTGGGCTGGGCACTGTGTGTAGGATGGGCATTACTGAGCTCCTTCAAATGGTTGGAGGTGAATGCAGCATGGAGACATTGTCCCCAGCGTCCCCCATCTGTTCCCCTCCTCTTGTGGGGCTCTGGCCCAGGGGAGGGGGCTGATATTGGGTTGAAATTTGGGAGTTCACACCCAGTGGCAGCCCCTGAGCCCAGCTTGTCCCCACCTGCAGGAGCAGCCCGACCTCCGCCGCTCATCCATCGTGCTCTTTGGCAACCTGACCAAATTCAGCGAGGGTGACTGCGAGGCGTTCTTCGAGCAGATCCTCAACGGGCTGGTGACGCTGCTGCTGCACCTCCAGGACCCCAAACCCGAGGTCGTCAGGGTGAGCGCATGGCGTGGAGGGGCACCCAATAGGAAACATGGCGATGCATTGGGCCCCCCAGCACGCTGCGACCTCCCCCTGTGTGTGTGCTGCAGGCCTGCAAGTTCGCTCTGCGCATGTGCGGCCCCAGCATGGGCTGTGAGGGGTTGTGTGACATGTTCCTGAACCACCTGCGGGAGGACCGGAGCCTGCACTACGGCGAGTTCATGAACAATGTCTGCAAGCACCTGGTGAGTGCTGCCCAGCTGGCCAGTGGGTGAGCAGAGGTTGAAAAATGGTTGACCAGTGATTGATTGACCAGTAGTTGACCAATTGTTGACCAGTAGTTGACCAGTGGTTGAGCAACGGTTGACCAGCAGTTGACCAATAGTTGAGTGAATGGCCAGTGGTTGACCAAGGGTTGACCCAACTGTTGAACAGTGGTTGAACAACAGTAGAACAGTGGTTGACCTCTGGTTGAGTGGTTGACCAGTGTTGATCATTGATTGACCCAAAAAGTTGACCAATGGTTGACCAACACTTGACCAGTGGTTGAATGGTTGACCAACAGTTGACAAATGGTTGAACTGGATATCTAGAAAATGGTTGACCATTGAACTTGAATAGTTGTCCAGTAGTTGTCCAGTGGTTGACCAGTGGTTGACCAATGAGTGACCAAAAGTTGACCAATGATTAAATGTTTGTCCACTGGTTAACCAACAATGACCAATGGTCAACCAACACTTGACCAACAATTAACCAGTGATTGAATCATTGACCAATGGTTGACCAGAGGTTGAACTGGAAATCTAGAAAATGATTGACCATTGGACTTGAATTGTTGACCAGTGGATGACCCATGGTTCATCAGTGGTTGAACAGCAGTTGACCAACAATTGGCTAATGATTGACCAAGAATTGAATGTTTAACCAATGGTTGTCCAGTAGTTGAATAGTGGTTGACCAACAGTTGACTATGAGCCAGTTGTGAACCCTGGTGGCCAAGAGTGCCACCAGCTGGGGGTTTGGACTGGAGGATCTCCAGAGGTCCCTTCCAGCCCTTCCTGCTGTGTGATTCTGCGTTGCATCCTGCAGATGCAGAGCTACCCGGAGATGCTGAACCGTCTGGTTCTGACCAACCTCTTCTACTTCAAGAGCTCCTGGGTGGACATCCGAGCAGCTGCGCCCATGTTCATCGGTAAGGCTGTGCCTGCTCCATGCTGTTGCTTCCAGGCCACTCTGCACCCCCATGGGGTCCTGGGGGGGGGAGTGTTCAGTCCCCACTGCACCCCATGGGCTGCACAGACCCTGACCAGATCATCCCATCATGATAAAGTTCATCCTGTCGTGATAAAGGCAGTGCAGAGTTGGGCTGTGTTCTGCAGAGCTAGCAGCACTGTGCTGGTTCATAGCAGTGGGTTAACGGAGCTGCAGAGGTGCTGGTGGGGGCACCACTCCAACCAATCCATTCCATGGCTCTTAAAGCACCCTTCCAACCCAACCTTCCCAGGGTTCTGTGATCTTTAAGGACCCTTCCAATCCAACCATCCTATGGCTCTCTGATCTTCAAGGACCCTTCCAACCCAACCATCCCGTAGTCCCATCATCTGTCCCAAGGGTGCCCAGCCTTTTGGCTCACCTTCACCAGTACTGAGTGAAGAGGAGTCGTCTTGGGCCACATATAAAATATATAAGATAGTTTAACTTAAATAAACAACAGAACTTGTGGGTGGTTTTTTTTTTGAAAACATAAGGAGAGCATAAAACCATAAAACCAGTGGGATATTTGACCTTATTGTTGTGAAACTTAACGCACCACTCTGGTTCAGTGGCAGCGGTCGTGGTTCCTTGTGAGGCGTTCATCAGAGATTTTTGCTCTGATTTCCCTCATCCTGTGCCTTCCTCTTGAGAGCAGTTCTTCAGAAATGAATGTCCTGCCAAACCAAGAGGTTGTTCCTCTTAACAACCCCAAAGAATCCATTTCTTTGGTGACCTTACATTCATTTCCAGGACCTCTAATTAGAACGGAGAGCTGAGCCATGTTGGTACATCAGCGCTTTCATCCGTCACCACCGATTGGAAAGGAGCAGCTTTACTCTCTGCATTTCTCTCAATAGATTTTCCTGTTCCTTCAGTCCACTGGGCCACAGTCTGCTGAGGAAAACTGGTTTTTTTAATGGGGAGAGATGATATCTGCCGTGCTTTCCATACGTTGCTTGACAATTCGCCATTGTCAAATGGTTCAGGTTGTTTTTTTGCTGCCAGTTTGCCATCACGGGATGAGCTTTTGTGGCAGAGTCCGTCTGAGCCCTAACTTTATATTAATTTCAGTTGTAGTGATGAAATTATTTTTTTGGTGCCTCTTTTTGGTCTTTATGAAACGTTCCTCAGTACGCGTCAGACTTGGCAATGTGTTTCTGCGATATAATTAATGGCTTTTCAAATTGTAATCTTTGAAAACTGACACCATTTCCTTAGGAATTAAGCATAGCGCCGTATTAGGAACCGTTCCTTCTTGGAAAGAGTGGCTGTTGGCACAGGGGGGTGCTGGGATCCCCATCCCTGGGGTCTTCCAGGTGGAGATGTGGCACTTGGGGACGCGGTTAGTTGATGGGTTGGGGTTGGGGATCTTGGAGGCGTCTTCCAACCTTAATGACTCTGTGATTCTGTTAGGGACATGGTTAGTGGGGGTGGTGGGGGTGGGTTCAACCTCTCCTGCCATCCCACCACCACCCAACTCTGACACTGTGGGCCACCATAACAAAACAGGAGGCACTACTTTCGGATCAGCCATCATCCATGCACCTGCTCATGAAAACCATCACTAAAAATCACAAAATAATGCAGGAAGCTGTGGGGCTGCGTTAGGCGATGTCCTCGGCACTGTGGGTCGGACGTTCCTGGTGCACAGCACTGACCCACGTCCCCACGTTCTGCAGGGTGGCTCTTTGTGACCCACAGCGCAGCCCTGCGTCCCTCTGTACGCTCAGCTCTGGGGATTCCCGCTGGGTCCCATCGAGCCCTAACCCTGACCTTCCTCCCCAGGGTTCCTCGTGCTGCACGTGGGGGAGGACCACTGCCACCAGGTGGACCTGGAGCAGCTCATCTCGGGTGAGTACCACGGCGGGACCCCACACTGCGCCCACCCCGCACCCAGCAGTCCTTCCTCACCGCGAGAGGGACGCTGAGGTGCTGAGCGTGTCCAGGGGGCGACACAGGGGGAAGGGTCTGAGCACAGCGCTGCGGGGAGCGGTGTGGGTGTGGGGTGTGTGGGTCCGGAGCAGGGGGGACTCAGGGGAGAGCTCATCGCTCCCTACAGCTCCTGAAGGGAGCTTGTGGTGAGGGAGAGGGTTGGCCTCTGCTCCCATGTTATGGGACAGGAGGGGATGGCCTTAATTGCACCGGGGGAGGGTCAGGTTGGAGATTAGGAAACATTTCTTCCCCAAAAGAGCAATCAGGCACTGACATGGGCTGCCTGGGGTTGGGCGTGGGGGTGGGGTCACCATCCTTGGAAGTGCTGAAGAACTGTGGGGATGTGGCACTTGGGGACACGGTAGTGGGCATGGTGCAGTTGGATTGGGTGACTTTGGAGGGCCTCTCCAATCTTAATGACTCTATGGGTCTGTGTAGGGTTACAGTGAGGGTGGCTTGGGGTTGGACTGGATGACCTTGGAGGTCTCTTCCAACCTGAATGAGTCTGTGGCTCTATTTACAGTCATGCTTGGGGGTGGGTTGGGGTTGGAGTTGGACTGGATGACCTTGGAGGTCTCTTCCAACCTGAATGAGTCTGTGGTTCTATTTACAGTCATGGTGGGGGGGTGGGTTGGGGTTGAGGATCTTGGAAGTCTCTTCCAATCATGTCAATGACCCTACAGTGGACATGGTGGCTATGAGTTGACCTCTGGACTCGGGGATCTTGGAGGTCCTTTCCAACCTTGATGACTCTGTGGGTCTATTTATGGTGATGGGGGTGTGTATTGGGGTTGGACTGGATGACCTTGGAGGTCTTCTTCAACCTTAATGACTCTATGGATCTGTTTAGGGTCATGGTGGGGGGTGGGTTGGGGTTGGAGTTGGACTAGATGACTTTGGAGGTCTTCTTCAACCTTAATGACTCTGGATCTATTTAGGGTCATGGTGGGTGGGTTGGGGTTGGAGTTGGACTGGATGACCTTGGAGGTCTTTTCCAACCTTGATGACTCTGTGGGTCTATTTAGGGTCACGGTGGGGTGGGTTGGGGTTGGAGTTGGGGATCCTGGAGATCTCTTCCAACCTCTATGACCCCGTGGTGGACGTGGTGGGGATGAGTTGAGCGCTGCCCTCGGGGGTGTTGGAGGCCTTTTCCAACGTTCCCAATTCCGTGACTCTGAGCGCTGGGAGCAGACGGGGACACCGCACAGCGGGGTTCCTGGTTGTGGGGCAGCACTCCCAGCGATGGGGCAGCGCTCGGCTCCCGGCGAAGGGCTCATAAAAAGCCCGACTGAAGCCGGTGGCATTTTGGAGCAGAGTTAAGTAATTTTCCTGGATTTCAGGGATTTTTTCCTTGTCACTGGTGACCTCATAGTATAGAGTAATGCACGGAAACTTTCGGATCGTTCCAAGAGAGCTTAAAAAACACTAAAAAAGGAAAAACTATCTTTCCGTTGGCTCCCTGAGCCCCGTCCAGAAGAAAGAGGGCTGTCTGTTAGCAACAGTGAAAGATAATCCGGGTGTGAGTAATGGGGGGAGCGACGGGAGGGGCCGGGGGGGCACCCCCGGGGCGGAGGATGAGGAGCGCAGGAGGGGGATGTGGCATAAATCAGGGGGAGCTGAGGGGGGAGGAGGGGGGGGACTCTCCTGCGCTGCGGGTAAACAGCTCCTGGAAAAATGGGATGGCGAAATGCAGTGGGGTTTCGCTGCTCGGAAGGACGGCTCCCGGCGTTGGGAAGTGCTTGATGGGGAGGGCGGCTGTGGGGCCAACGCGTGGACCGACTCCCCGCCTTCTTCCCCACATTGGGACGTTCCCCGGGGGGGGAGGATCCAGTGAGGGGGTCCTGGGGGGTCACCGAGGGGGACAGGGAGTCCCCAAAGGAGTTTCAGGAATCCCCGAGTGGATTTGGGGTTTCCCGGGGGATATGAGGTCCTCAGGGTGGATTTGGGGTTCAAAATGGGGGATTTGGGGTTTCCTGAGGGATATGGGGTCCTCAGAGTGGATTCGGGGTTCAAAATGGGGGATTTGGGGTCTCTAAAGGGATTGTGGGGTCCCAAAGGGGATATAGTGTTCTCGAAATAGATATGGGATTCCCAAGGGGTTGTGGGGGGTCCCCAAGAGTATTTCGGGGTCTCCTAAGTGAATCTGGGGTCCCTAAGGGGATATAGGATTCTCAAAGTGGATGTGGGATCCACAGGGGAATTTGGGGTCCCCAAAGTGGATATGGGGTCCCCAATGGGGATTTGGGTCCCTGATGTGGATTTGGGGTCTTCACAGAGGATTTGGAGTCCCCTTTGGGGGGATATTGTGATCCCAAAGTGGACTGGGGGACTCTGAAGGGGATATGGGGTTCCCAAAGTGAATTTGCATTTCCTGGAAGGATTTGGGATACTCAAAGCAGATTTGGGGTCCCCAGGAGTATTTCATGGTCCCCAAAGTGAATTTGGAGTCCCCAAAGATATATAGGGTTCTCAAAATGGATTTGGGGTCCATAGGGGGATTTGGGGTCTCCAAGGGGATATGGGTTTCCCTGAGGAAATCTGGGGTCCCCACAGGGGATATTGGGACCCCAAGGGGATATGGTGTTCCCAAAATGAATTTGGGGTCCCCGAGGGAATACAGGGTTCTCAAAGTGGATTTGGGGTCCATGGGTGGGGGGGAGGGGATCTGAGGTCCCTAAAATGGATGTGCAATCCCCAAGAGTATTTGGGAATCACCCAATTGAATTTGGGGTCCCCAAAGGGATATTGGGTTTTCAGTGTGGATTTGGGGTTCGCAGTGGGATCTGGGGGCTCCAAAGTGGATTTGGGGTCCTCAGAGGGGTTTTGTATCCCTGTTGTGCATTGAGGTTCTTCAAAGAGAATTGGAGTCCCCAAAGGCACATTGGTGTTCCCAAAGCGGATTTGGGGACCCCAAGGGGATATGGGGACCCAAAGGGGATCTGGTGTTCCCAAAGTGAAAATTGGGACCCCCAAGGGGATTTGGGAACCCCAAGGGCATAGGGGATTCCCAGAGCGGATTTGGGATCCCAGAGGGGATTTGGGGTCCCCGTGCCCCCTCCTGATGTGTGTGACGGTGGGGATGGGGGCTGGAGGAGGGGCGTGGGCAGCCCCCAGCCCTGACTCCCCCCACCCCGCGCTCTGCTCCCCGCAGCCCTCAACCTCCTCCTGAAGGACCCGGTCCCCGCCGTCCGCATGAAGGTGGCAGAGACCCTGGGCCGCCTCGTCCGCATCCTCTGACCCCACGCAGCGCTATGGGGTCGCAGCCCCACAGCCACCGCCACGCGCCCCCCACGGGCCCCGCTCCGCAGCGCCATCGTCTTCCTCCGCTCCCCCCAGAGCCCGGGATGGGCACAGCAGGTGAACGGACCCCTGTGTGGTGGGTGGGTGGGGGGTCCCAGGAATGTGAGCGTCCCCAAACACACCTGTACATAAACTTATTTTTCGATAATAAAGCTCTTTCTTTGCTCCTGGCTGGGAGGTGGTGTGGGGTGAGGGATGCGGCCGACGTGGGGGTTTGTTAATGGGGGAGGGGGGTGTTAATGATAGCGGAGGGTTTGGAAGTGGGTGGGTGGGGGGAGGGCTTGGGTAGGGGGGCTTCCCTCATTCCTTGTGCTGTCTGTGCTCTTCAGTGGGCTCCAGAATGAACGTGGGTGGATGGAGTGGGGCAGCAGTGGGCCAGGCCCTGCGCTGTGGGGTGGGGGCCAGGAGCCGTGTGGGGCTGATCCTGAGCCTCTGACGACCCAGGTTGTCCCTGACCCCACAACCTGGGGAAGGGGGAGATGTGCCCCGGCCTTTTGCTGTTGCTTACGCCCCAGCCTTGGTCCCATTGCTCAGCTCTGGCTGCAGCAGGAGCAGAATTGTTGGGGTGCTCACGCAGGGGTCGGGCTGTGCAGGGAACAAACCCCACTGATGTGGGTCCCGCAATGGGGTCCTGTGGGGCCGTGTGGTCGATGTGGGTCGGGAAAGTTCCCGTTTGGTTTCCCCAATCCTGGCCCATGGCCAACACTGAGCTCACAGCGGGACGGGATGAGCTCACGGTGCGGCTGCGGGACCGCGGGGTCAAAGGGCAGCACGTGGGGCTGGGGGGGAAAGCTGGAGGGTTGGGGGGCTCTGGATGCTTGTGGGGTGGGCTCTGCGGGTGTGCTATGGGGCAGTGTTACCCCCATATGTGTCCCTGTGGGGCAAAGTGGGTGCAGGTCCCGTGCATTCAGCTCGGGAGCATCTCTCTCGGCCATGGGAGATGCTGTGGGGCAGGCAAGCATGGAGAAACCCCACAGACACTCTGGGGGGGGGCTGGAGGGCACCACACTGGGCAGCACTGCGCAGGAATTGGGGTGCTGGGTGCTCCTTGGTGCAGCTGGAGAACACAAAGATGCGATTCTGTACCCAAAAATAAGTTTAATGAGAAATTAGAAAGGTTCCTGAGTCCATGGGTAGGAGCAGAGATGTTCCCAGCTTGTGTTGGGGTGTCGGTGATGTTGGGGTGCTGGTATCAGAGTCCTGGTATTGGGGTGCTGGTATCGGGGTGTCAGTGTAGTCAGGGTGCCTCAGAGTCCCGGTATTGGGGTGCCGGTGTCGGGATGCCAGAGTTGTCAGGGTGCTGATATCAGGGTGCTGGTGTCAGGTACTGGTGTCAGGGAGCAGTATTGGGGTGCCAGTGTAGTCAGGGTGCCGGTGTCAGGTATCCAATGTCACTGGGGTGCTGATGTTGGGATGCCAGTCTTCTTGGGGTGCTGGTACTGGGGTGCCAGTATCAGATTGCTGCTCTTGGGGTGCCAGTATTGTGGTACTGGTGTTGTCGGGGTACCGGTGTTGAGGTTCTGGTGTAGTCAGGGTGCCAATGTTGGGGTGCCTGTGTTGGGGTTCTGCTGTTGGGGTGCCGGTTGTTATTGGGGTGCCGGTGTTGGGCAGCAGCTACGTGTAGAGCCGGACGGTGCCGTCGGCGCCGGAGGAGAAGACCCACGGCTGAGTGGGGTGGAAGATGACATCGAGGACGCCCAGGTCCAGGGTCAGCGCGTGGCCCTTCAGCACCTTCACTGGCACCAGCAGCGGGTTCTGCAGCAGGTCGCTGTGTGGGGAGATGGGTCAGTGCGGGGCTCTGCATCCACCCGTGGGGTCACCCCATCGATGCTCTGCTCCCTCTGCCCCATAACCAACCCTCCGCTGCCCCCTGCCCCGTGGGAAGACATCGAACCCTCCCCGGCCCAATTCCCACGTACTTGTAGACCATGCCATGGCACACAATGACGGTCCCGTCGTCCGAGCCCGAGGCGAAGAGCGGGTAGTGCTTGTGGAAGGCCACGCTCCTCAGTGCCTTCCTGTGGTGCCTGCAAAGAGTGAGTGCCGTCAGCGCAGGGGGATCATAAAGTCATGGCATCATGGGATGGTTGGGTTGGAAGGGTCCTTAAAGATTGTAGAGCCATGGGATGGTTGGGTTGGAAGGGTCCCAAAAGCTCATAGAGACATAGGATGGTTGGGTTGGAAGGGTCCTTACAGATCATAGAGACGTGGGATGGTTGGGTTGGAAGGGTCCCAAAAACTCATAGAGCCATGGGATGGTTGGGTTGGAAAGGTCCTTAAAGATCACAGAGCCTTGAAATTGTTAGGTTGGAAGGGTCCTTACAGATTGTAGAACCATGGGATGGTTGGGTTGAGTAGGGGGATCCTTAAAGATCACAGAGCCATGGAATAGTTGCATTAGGTTGGAAGGGTCCTTAAAGATCACAGAACCACAGCACGGTTGGGTTGGAAGGGTCCTTACAGGTCGTAGAGACATGGGATGGTTGGGTTGGAAGGGTCCCAAAAGCTCATAGAACCATGGGATGGTTGGGTTGAGTAGGGGGATCCTTAAAGATCACAGAGCCATGGAATAGTTGCGTTGGGTTGGAAGGGCCTTTAATGGTCATCCATTCCAGCCCCTGCCATGGGGTTCATTAGATCAAGGCTGCTCAAAGCCCTGTCCAACTCAGTATTGAGCACTTCCAATGAACATCTACAACATAAACACGGCCCTTCTATGCAGCCCCTTCCCCAAAATTCTCTGACAACCCGTACAACCCATCCATCTGCCTACCCAATCTGCCTTGAGCTCACTGCATCACTGCTGCCAACTGCATCACTGCTGCCAACCATCGGGTATCAGCGTGCCTACAGAAATGCTGCTCCTAAAGCAGCAAATTTGGGGTTCTCTAGATTGTATTTTGATTATTTATTTATATGGGACACCAAATTCTTGCTTATTGCTTCTACAATTAGGGGCCGGGCAGCAGAACAAAACCATGCAAAGGTAATTATCACTTTGCTATGGGAAACCCCCACCTTGGGTTAACCTGCATTTGTCACTCAGGCTCTTTGTACAAGAAGTTCAGTCCATGGTAACTGAAAGATGATGAAAATGCTTTGTGATCACCACTAAAATAAATGTATGGATTAACTGGGAGCTGGAACAGGGTGCTTATCCTCACTGGAGATCAGTGGGCTGTGTGTAGGACCCTGAGTGCAAGAGGCAGCACTGGGAAATGAGGGACTCTCATCGATGGGACCTTCTGCTTCAACCCCATGTGTGTTTGGAGTACCTACCAAAAAGCTGACTCCAAAGGTCAGTGCTTTGGAAAATGGTAATCATAAAACCTGTGTGCGGCCCTGAGCTCTGCAGCACGGGGAGGGAAGGATGGGGGCGGCCCTGGGGGCCGGGACTCACCGCAGCAGCTGGTAGGGGCGGGTGGAGAGGTCCAGGTCGAACCAGGCCAGCTTGCTGTCGTAGCTGCCGCAGATGACGTTGTCACCTGGAGGAAGGAGTGGGACACCCATCACCAGGTGAGCCCCACGCACCGCCGTAGGCACCCCAGGGTGCTCCGTTCCGGCACCGCCATCCGTACCTGCAGGGTGGATGGCCATGCTGGACACCCACTTGCAGTTGGCCATCAGCTTCTTGGTGAGCTCCTGCTTGAGGAGGTTGTAGACGCGGACGTAGCGCTGCGTGGCCACGAAGAAATAGGGCCGGATGGGGTGGAAGAGGACGCACTGCACCAGCCCTTTGCTCTTGCGGAAGGGGTTCTGGCTCCAGCGTTTGCTGGTCTGGTGGATCAGCACCTGCATGTTGCTGTTGTCGGCCACGACGGTGGCGAAGTAATCGCCCTTCCCGTGCCAGGTCACCTGCTTCAAGGCCTGCGGGCAACGGGGAGGAGTCAGACCCATGGAATCATAGAATGGCGGGGTGGAAGGGTCCTTAGAGAGCATAGAATCATAGACTGGGTTGGGCTGGGAAGGACCTTAAAGATCAGAGAGCCATGGGATGGTTGGGTTGGGTTGGGAAGGACCTTAAAGATCACAGAACTATGGGACGGTTGGGTTGGGTTGGGAAGGACCTTAAAGATCACAGAACTATGGGATGGTTGGGTTGGGTGGGGAAGGACCTTAAAGATCACAGAACCATGGGATGGTTGGGTTGGGAAGGACCTTAAAGATCATAGAACCATGGGATGGTTGGGTTGGGTTGGGTTGAAAGGGACCTTAAAGACCATAGAGCCCTGGGATGGTTGGGTGGGCTGGGTTAGGTTGGAAGGGTACTTAAAAGATTATAAACCCATGGGATGGTTGGATTGGGAGAGCCCTTAAAGATCACAGAAGCACACAGTAGTTGGGTTGGAAAGTTCCTTAAAGATCACAGAACTACAGAACGAGTTGAGTTGGAAGGGACCAACCCAACACTTTGCCCCAACCCAATGCCATCCACTTGGCCTTGTTGACCCTTGCTGACCCACACAGGCCCCCTCCCCAAGCCCATCAGTGGGGCTGCCCCACTCCATCCCCCAGAACTGCCCTGTCCCCACCTTGCTGTGCTGCACTGTCAGGCGGATGCCTCTGCTGTGCTCCTCGCTGGTGGCTGTGACCCACTGGACAGGCTGTACACGCTCCTCCTCTGGTGGCACATAGGACTCCAGCACCTGGTCAGTGGCCCCATAGAGCAGCTTGTCCCCGAGGCACGGGTTCACCAGCAGCACCGACTGCTCCCTGCAGTGTGGGATTGGGGAGGGAAGGGGTCAGGGCACTGCTGGTGAGGGGAAACCCTTCTGCAAGCCCTGCATGATGATGGCGGGGGGATGAGTGGGATGGTGCAAGCCTGCCAAGCTCATCTGTAGCCAAACAAGGGACAGGAGCTCGAGACCAGAGTCCCCAGTGCTGGAGGTGAGTCCCCAGGATCTCCCTAGAAGCTGAAAAGCTGTGGGAGAGGAAATTCAGTGACATGGAATCATGGGAGTCGTTATGGCTGGAGAAGATCTCCGTGCCCACCATGCCCACTCAAAGAATCACTGAACCACTGAAGTTGGAAAAGTCCTCCAAGATCACCGCGTCCAACTGCCCCGGGCAGCTCCTGGCGGGGACTGGAGGGTGCAGGACGGTGCACGGGGACACTCACACGCAGATGGCCACCAGGCAGACGGTGGGGTTGGGGTTCCAGGCGATGCTCTTCACCACGCCACCCACGGGCAAGGTCTTCATGCAGCGCGCCGTGCACACCTCCCAGAAGCGCACCGTGCCGTCATCGGAGCCTGCAGGAAGCATGCGTTGAGTGGGTCATGGAGTCAGGGAATCGTTAAGGTTGGAAAAGGCTTCCAAGACCACTGAGTCCAACCAGCAACCCATCCCCACTCAGAGAGTCATTACAGTTGGAGAAGACCACTAAGATTATTGAGTCCAACCATCAACCCATCTCCACCATCTTCCCGCTCAAGAGAATGGTGTAATTGTTGGAGCTGGAGAAGACCACCAGGATTGTTGAGTCCAACCATTGACCCATCTCTGCCACCTCCCACTCAGAAACTCATGGAATTGTCAGGGTTGGAAAAGACACTCAGATCATCGAGTCCAACCATCGACCCACCCCCACCACCTCCCCCCTCGAAAGAGTCATTAAGGTTGGAAAAGACCACTAAGATCACTGAGACCAACCACTGACTCATCCACACCACCTCCCCACTACTCAGACGATTATGGAATCAATGGGGTTGGTGAAGACCACTAACACCATCAAGTCCAACCACTGACCCACCCCCATTATCTCCCCACTCAAGAAAGTCATTAAGATTGAAAAGACCACCGAGATCACTGAGTCCAACTGCCAGCCCATCCCCACCATCTTCTCACTCAGAGAATCATGGAATTGTTGGAGCTTGAGAAGACCGCTAAGATCCAACCATCAACGCATCCTCACCACCTCCCACTCAGATATTCAAAGATCATCAAGTCCAACCACTGACCCTTTCCTACCACCTCTCACTCAGAGAATCATGGAAGGCAGGGTTGGAGAAGACCACTCAGACCATTGAGTCCAACCATCGACTCATCCCCACCACCTCCCCACTCATAAGAGTCATTAAAGTTGGAGAAGACCGCTGAGATCACCAAGACAACAGTTGACCCATCTTCACCATCTCCCCACCCAGAAAATCATGGAATCAGTGGGGGTGGTGAAGACCACTAAGATGGTAGAGTCCAACAATCAACCCATCCCCACCATCTCCCCCCTCAAAGGAGTCACTGAAGTTGATAAGACCACTGAGATCATTGAGTCCACCCACTGACCCACCCTCACCATCTCCCCACTCCTATAATCACAGAACTGTTGGGATTGGAGAAGACCACCGAGACACTGAGTCAGTGGTTGGTCTCAGTGATCTTAGTGGTCTTCTCCAACAGCAGGGATCTCATAATTCTCTGAGTGGGGACGTAATGGAGGTGCATAGACAGCTGGACTCATCGATCTTAGTGGTCTTTTCCAACCTTAATGACTCTTTCAAGGGGGGAGATGGTGGGGGTGGGTCAGTGGTTGGACTCAATGACCTTAGTGGTCTTAGTGGTGGGGGCGAGTCGATGGTTGGACTCGATGATCTGAGGTCTTTTCCAACGCTGACAATTCCGTGAGTTTCTGAGTGGGAGGTGGCGGAGATGGGTCAATGGTTGGACTCAGCCACAAGGGCTGCCAGGGCTCCCTGGGGTCTCGCTGCTGGTACGGCCGCGGCTCAGCGCCACGCGGGGCGCCGGGAGATTCCACAGCAGCACGAAGGCGAGACGTGAGCGGGGGCCGCAGCAAAAAGAACAGCCCCCACCCCGCAGCTCTGCCCGCGGTCGGCTCCCGGTGCAGCTGCTGTGCTGGCAGCACGCCCGGCTCGGCGCGGCACGGCGCGGCTCGCTGCAGGACGTGGCCGTGGGCGCAGGTAGCGGTGGCACGCGCCGTGTCCCCGCGGCTCGGGGTTATTTTTAACGCCTGAGCTCAGCCCGCGTTCCCAACCCGGGGCCAGGAATGCCGCGTTGTGCAACCGGCCGCCGCCGCGGCCACCGGGAGCTGGCAGCCGGGAAGCGCCGCGCGCTATAAAAAGCACATGTGCCTTAGTGGGCTGTTAACTGCCATCTGCTCTCAATCTGCAGCCTCCGGGGCTGCGCCGCGCTCACTTTCTCCGCTGTTGGGATGCAGACTCCTGGGTGGGGTCCTGGAAAAACCCACGGAGCCGCGAGCGGCTGCGGGACGCGGTGCTGTGGCTCTGAGCCCGGGCTCCCCCCGTCCTCCCCCCCCACAACGGCTCTGACACGTGCAGAGCCCCGGGCTGGCGCAGAGCAGGGCTCCGGAGCAGCTCCAGCAGTGCCGAAGCGCTCGGTGCCGCCGCGGTGCAGGGCCGTACCTGATGCCAACCACTGCCCGCTGGGGGAGACGCTGAGGCAGCGCACCAGGCTGCTGTGCCCGCGGTACACCTGGGGGAGGAAGGGGAAAAGGAGGGGGGTGAGGGTCTGCAGAGACCACCGTCCCCAGCTCTGCAGCACCCAGCGCACGGCACGGCGCGCCCACCGCCCCCCGGCTCTGCGCGGCTGCTCACCAGCGCCTGCGTGGTGGGGAAGGGCTGCAGGTCCCGCGGTTTCGGCAGCTTCGGGATCAGATCCTCGGGATCCACGTTCACCTGTGAGAGGCACAGATTGGGACATGGCTCAGAACTCCGTCACAACTCCGCGTGCAGCACCGTGATCCGGCACACAGCGCACTGGGGATGGGGGGCACGCATCGGTGTGAGCAATGCCCACGCTGTACACGTGGGTGGGGGTTCTGGGGTCGGGGAGGCTCTCACCCTCATCTTCCTCTGCCGTGGGCACAGATAGAGGTCGAGGCAGCGCTCGAAGCGCTCGTGGATGAAGCGGGGATACGCCGGCACGGCGCGCAGGCAGCGGTACTGCTGCGGCACGAAGTTCAGCCGCCGCTCGGCCGGCTCCTGCTGCTCCCACGCCAACTTCTGCAGGGGAGGAATGGGGTCAGCAGGGTGGGAGGGGGCTCGGGTGGTTTACCTGCCCACAGCCGGGCCCCCTACCCCCCTACCTCCTCCTCGCTGAGCAGGTACTCGGGCGGAGGGTTGTAGGACTCCTCGTGCCCCGGCAGCTTCATCTTGGGGGCCGGGACGTGCATCTTGTGGCGACCCAGGATGGAGTTGGGGTCCTCGTGGGCCCAGAGGTCGTAGTACGTCGGGGTGTCCTCCTTGGGCTTGCGGGGTTTGATCCAGCCCATCTTGATGGCGTGGACCAGCTTGGAGACCTGAGGGATGGGGACAGGTCAGGCCCAGGGCCGCCAGGACACAGTGTGTATGGGAACGATGGGGATGTGAGGTTGGAAAGCGATGCCCTGAATGCAGCTCTGCCCCTAAGGGTGCATGGGGCCAGACAGGACTGGGGGGGTGCCACAGGGTGTGTAACAGCTGCTGCTATGGGGATGGTGGTGGGTATGGATGGGCTACAGTGGGGACGGGATGAGTATGGCTGAGACGGGAGTGCTTTGAATGCCCAGATACACACTCCCAGCCTCTTGGAGCTCCCACTCTCACCTTCTCCTTCTCAATGAGGGATGGGATGAAGCTCCGTTTGTCCGCCGGGCGATTGGTCACTGGGTGGATCATGACCTCATGGGTGAAGAAGTCGATGGCCGGCTGTGGAGACACACAGAGCCGTTGAGCTTCTCCTGCCCCAACCAGACCCCACTCTGTGCCTCCTGGAAGTGGAAAGAAGGCCATGGCCCACCTCATAGGGATTGAAGTGCACGTCCCCAAACTGCCCTTTCTGGAGACGATGCACCAGGTCCACCTGCTCGTCCGTCAGCTTTATGTCTGCGCCTGTCATCTTGTCCTGGACTGTTCGCCTGCGGGGAGTGAGGCAGATCTGGGTCAGAAAAGGAGCTCTGTGGAGAAGGACCTGGGGGTCCTGGTTGGCCAACGGTTGGCTAACTGTTGGCCAACAGTTGTCCAATGTTTGACAAATTGGTTGACCAACGGTTAACAAATGGTTAATCAATGTTCGACCAACGGTTGACCAGCAGTTGACCAACAGTTGACCAGAGGCTGAGAATGAGCCAGCAGTGAGCCCTGCTGGCCAAGAAGGCCAATGGTGGCCAACAAGCTGACCACTAGCCAGAAGAAAGCCCTGGTGGCAAAAAGGGCCAAGGGGAAAATGGGGAGCATTGTACAGAGCGTGGCCAGAAGGGTGAAGGAGGTCCTCCCCTCTCTGCTCTGCCCAAGAGGCCACAGCTGGAGCACTAGGAGATGCTCCCCAGAAATGTGCCCACAGATGGGGCCCTGGGCAGCCTGAGCTGGTGGGGTGCTCCCAGCTCATGGCAGAGGTGGGACTGGGGGGTCCCTTCCAACCCAACCATCCCACAGCTCTACGATGCTCACCAGTAGTCAGGGTTCTCCATCTTCTCCAGGAACTTGTCCAGCTCGTCTTTGTTGCGGATGGGTTTGTAGATCCTCTTCCCCTCCAGGTCATAGCCAATGTGTGGGAAGTCCTGGTACCATTCCATGGGGATGTTGCCCACCGTGTTGCGAATGTCCTGCAGCAGGGAGGATGAAGGATGAGGGGAGGGTCTGGGGTCTGCATGAGGTCATGGGTGTGGGGTGAAAGCAGCCAGTTGGACTGCCACCGTGCAATCACAGAATCACAGAATGTCCAGGGTTGGAAGGGACCTCAAGGATCATGAATCTCCAACCCCCCTGCCACATGCAGGCCCACCAACCTCCACATTTAATATTACACCAGGCTGCCCAGGGCCCCATCCAACCTGGCCTTGAACACCTCCAGGGACGGGGCATCCACAGCCTCTCTGGGCAGCTGTTCCAGCACCTCACTGCTCTCATTGTAAGGAACTTTCAGCTGACATCCAACCTAAATCTTCCCTCCCTAACCATCAGCATGGCCACACAACCATCAGCATGGCTACAACCTACACCATGGCCACACAACCACTGGCACAGCCACACAACCATCAGCATAGCTACACCTACACCACAGCCACACTACCATCCCTACAGCCACAAAACCATCCCTACAGCCACACAACCATCGGCATGGAGACAGAACGATCAGTACAACCACACAACATCAGCATGGTGGCCTCACTCCTCACCCCTCAGCTGTGTCCTTTCCAGGGTCTGGGATCGGGATGAAGCCAGGTCCCGCTGTCCTCTCCCCCTCAGCCCCAGCGTTACACAACGCAGAGACCCCGTCCCCAATTACCAACGCCCCGAGAGGAGGTGTGAGGGTGACCTGTGCCCCCCACACCCCGCAGTCAGGGGTCACCCTCACCCCGCCGCCATCTGTTCCCCATAAACACCTGCAGAACTGCAGTGGGGCCTCCACGGAACAGCGCTGGGCGCCCCGAGGAGCGGAGCTGCCGGGAGCCCCCGGGCCACACCGCACCCATCCATCACTCCCCAGCACACGTCAGCGCAGGATGTGCGCGGCCCCGGGGGAACCTGGCAGGAATTTTCTGAGCTGAGGGGACACGGTCGGGATCACGGTGATCCGGGACCACCCCCGTCCCGGTGCAGACAGACGGACAGCGGGACGTCGGCTCTGCATGCCTCATCCCACGGCAGCTGTGATGCGAGAAGCCTCCGTGCTCAGAGCTCCATTGAAACGCCCGCTCTGTGAGCTCCCCACATTCCTGCAGCTGAATGGGGTGATGGAGAGCGATGTGGGGGGACAGCAACATCTCAGGGCATGCGGTGCTGAGCCCAGCACTGAGCTTGGCACGGATGCCCTCATGCAGCGCCAGACAGAGGTTGGAACTGACCTCCAAGATCCCCAAGCCCACCCCACCATGTCCCCAGGTGCCACATCTCCACGGTTACTGAACACCTCCAGGGATGGTGATCCCCCCCATGCCCCTGTGCCGGTGTCTGACTGCTCTCAGGAGAAGAAATTGTTCCTAATATCCAACCTGACCCTCCGCTGGTGCAATGTGAGGCCATCCCCTCTCATCCGATCACCGTCCCCACCAACCAGATATGGGATGTGGTGGATCCACTGGGGACTCAGGTGGCTGCACAGCACACGGTGCTGGGCAGCACCAAGAGACGGACAGACAGAGGAACAGGGGTGCAGAGACCTTTGTGGGGCTCTGCAGATTTAAGCAGCTTGGCTTTCTCAGAACTGTTTCCCTGCACAACGTTCTCTGCACCTGGGTGCTCCCATCACCTGGGTGCTCCCCCCATGTGAGTGCCCTCCTCACCTGGGTGCTCCGCCCATGTGGATGCCCACCTCACCTGGGTGCTCCCCACACCCGGGTGCTCCCCACAGCCCCACGCACAGGGGGCGAGCTGAGGGCACAGCTGTGCACTCACAGCAGTGTTTGCTGCAGGCGCGCTCGGCCGTGTTTACAACATCCCGGGCTGCGCTGGAGCTGAGACGGGCAGACGGAGCGTCTCTTCCCCAGGCAGCTCAGCTCCGCCAGGCGCTGCGGACTCTCAGTGCAGGAATCCCTGGGTGAAGTTCTTGCCAGGATCTCAACGAGCCTGGGATGCGTTCCCTGCACACAGCAGCACCGGGGGCCCCGCAGATGCACAGCGGTGCTGCCCCGACGCCGCTGTGCTCACCAAAACAGGCACTGCGCCACGCGATGCAGCCAGGATGGATCCCCCCTCCCCAACTGACTCACCCCATCCCCGGAGCTCTGTCCCCAGCTCTGCCCATCCCAGGGCAGGGAGCAAAGCTCCACGTGCCATCGGTGCCAGCGCTGGTGCCAATGCGCACCAAAACCCCACGGGGACGCACACAGCCATGGGGATGCACACAGCCACGGGGACACACACAGCCGTGGGGACACACACAGCCGTGGGGCCAATCCAGGTCCCGTCCCACCCCCCCAGGTGATGTGGGGGATCCCCTGAGCTGCAGCCCCATCCCTGGGCTGTGCCCCCTCCTACCCAACGGTGCCGGCAGTGCAGGCGGGGGGGGATGCGGAGCACTGGAGGCAGTGCCGTCACTCAGCGCACGTCTGGAAGTTGTTCTTGGATGGGCCCTGGGCATTCCTAGACGCACATTCCTGGCAGCTGGAGAGCGTCGTAGGAAAGATTCTTTGCTTGAAAATATCCGGTCCACGTGGAGGAGAGGAGGGGACGGGGAAAGCTGCGCCACGGCACCCTCTGTGCCCCAGAGTTGGGGGAGCAGCAATGGGATGAGGGCTGTGCCCTGTAAGTGAGCAGGACTCTGTGCCCCAGGGCTGGGGGCTGCCCCACACTCAGGCAGGGTGCCTGCGGGGTCCTGGGGGTCCTGCACCGGGGTTGGTGCCATGGGGCTGGGGCTCAGGGAGCTGTGGGAGAGGCACTCCCTTAAGTGGGGGTTACATAGAAAGGGCATGGAGATGGGGAAGGGAAACCCCCAGGAGCAGGGGAAGGCCGCAGGCAGCAGCCCCTCTGCCATCATTTGGGGGCACTGGAGCCAAACTTCCAGGTAATAAAACTGTGGCAGGAGCTGGAAAGGAGGGGGGGGGGAATTTCAGACTCTGCTCTGTGCCAGGGTGGTGGGGGTGGCCAAAGAGGTGCAATGGAGCAACAGGATGTGGCCAGGAGTGGGACGGTGGTGGCCAAAGGGATGGGATGGAGCAGCAGGACACAGCCAGGAATGGGACAGCAGTGGCCAGAGGGATGGGATGGAGCAGCAGGACACAGCCAGGAGTGGGACAGTGGCGGCCAATAGGATGGGATGGAGCAATGGGACTCAGCCAGGAGTGGGATGGCCATGGCCAATGGAATGGGATGGAGCAGTGGGACTCAGCCAGGAGCAGAGCTGGGGGTGGGACGCAGCAGTCCCGATGCCAACCCGGCTGATTCTGGAGAAGGGAGATGTGAGCCAGCGCTGGGGCTGGTGCTTTGGCCGCGTCCCAGTGCTGAGCGTCACCTGCAGCAGCACTGCTGCATTCCCACCCCCCGTAGGGAGGAGGGCTGCAGCCTCTGCTTCCTCCTCCTCCTCCTCCTCCTCCTCCCGGCTGCGGGGGACGGACTGACGGACAGACAGACAGACGGACGTGCGTCTCTCCGGGAAGAACAGTGCAGGGAAAAGCGCCCGGTGATGGCGCAGGGACGGAAGGTGCCGGATAAAAGAGGGATCGTTAGCGGAGCTAAACGAAAGCAGATGCCTGCGGGAGCCGCGGCTTTCCAAAGCACACCCCGAGCGCTCGGAGCTGCTGCGGGGACGCGGCACGGGGGGGGGTGGGCACAACAAGTGGCAAAGCCCCTTCCCGGCGGGGTCGGGACGCTGCTTCACCAGCGCAAAGAGCACAAAGAACCGCGCTGCAAAGCTGCGGTCCCGCAGCGCTGCGCACGGATGGGGCTCAGCTCACGCTCCCGTGCACATCGGGGCAGTGCGGCCGAGGGTCTCCTGCCCCCTCCTCACGAAGCCCAGCCACGCAGCACCCCCGAGGCTCCGACCCGTCCCATAAATCCGCCCCATAGAACTGGGCAGCTCAGGGGCTGCACCGAGCGCCACAGACCTGACGTTTGGGGATGGGTACCCCCCGGAATCCCCCTCCTCTCCCGCCCCGAGCTGCCCCACAGCCCCGGATTCCTTTGCCCCACGTGAGCCGCAGGCGTTGGGGCCATTTGGAAGGCAGCACCGCGGGCGGCCCCCGAAGGGTTAATCCTTCCTCTCTGCCCCATTAGCACCGATACGGTCACAGTGAGGGGGAGGCGGGGAGGAGCCTCCCGGGGGTCCCCCCCAGCAGCCCCAGCCCTGACCCCGGGGCGCAGGGGATGGCTACGCGAACCCCGTGCGCAGGCAGCGTCCGCGCCCCACGCTTAACGGGGCTGGGACCCCCTGCACGCTGCGAGGGGCAGGAGACCCCCCCCAAAGCCATACCCACACCCCGGAACCCCGTGCCCGCGGCGAGGGGCCGTCGGGTCCCGGCAGGTGACACACAGCGGGCGCTCCGGGGTGGGGGGGGGAGCTGCGGAAGGGTTAAACCCCCCCGGGCAGCGCAGGTAGGCCGAGCCTGCGGGGCGCGGGGCGGTGCCTGGCTGCCCACCGCCCTATAAAGCCCCGCGCTCCGGCCCCACTCGCGCCTTAGGATGCACATGGTGCCGGCGGGGGACGCCGCGGCCGTGCGCGGTCCTTGAGCCGTCGGGCGCGCGGGGGCACGGGGACCCCCTCCGGCAGCGAGCTGCCCCCCGGCGGCGCCGGGGCTGTGGCATGCGGCGGGGCTGAGGGCGGCGGTGCCGGCGGTGCGCGCGGTGCCGGCCGCTCGCCATGTCCTTTGCCATGCTGCGCCCCGCGCCCGGCCGTTACCTGTATCCCGAGATCAGCATGCTGTCGGAGGACGAGGAGAACGGCAGCGAGAGCTCGGGCTCCGACGAGAAGCCCTTCCACCTGGACGCCGACGGCTTCGGCATCAAAGCCGGCAAGAGGAGGAGCGGCAAGAAGCCCGGGCGGCTGCACCGCGAGCCCCGGCAGCGGCACACGGCCAACGCGCGGGAGCGCGACCGCACCAACAGCGTCAACACCGCCTTCACGGCGCTGCGCACCCTCATCCCCACCGAGCCGGCCGATAGGAAGCTC